AAGGTGTTAAGTTCAAAATTAATTTACACTTTTTCTTTTTTCACTTTTCATTTCATAGTATTTTAATAAATGTTGTAATGAAAAATAATATAAAAAGGAACAACTATAGTCTTCGAGTCATCTCTTGCCTAATAATGTCTGATATTATAATATTCAGTTCAAACCGTTCTTGTTACAAAATGTTATTCTTTTTCTTTTTTTTTTCATTTTTTACTTATTCTTTTGGTTATTTTAATAAGTTTTTCCTTTTCCTTTCGGCACCGGTCTCACGGATATAATTTTTTTTGGCAACCGCAATAAAAACAGGATGGAACGGCGTTGGGGGATTTATGGTCGGTTGATTGAGTTTGACGACAGAATGTACTCAAGAATTGCGCGCTTTATTACGCTATACGTTTTGTTCATCTGTCTTGTTGTTATTAAATTGGGTGGTTTTAAAGGCTACAGTCTGCGAGAATGCAATGGGACGCAGAAAAATGAACGTATACACGAGAACCGCTCTCGCACCACCACCCTCCCCTAGACGACTCGCGAATTACGTTCCTTGGTAACATTTTCCAGGAAAACATTTCGCCCGGTCCCACTCAACTGAATATCATAACTGTCGTTCACATTTCTCACGTTATGTTGACATTTTTATTGGTTTTAACGTTCCCGGGGAGCATCATCTGTGTTTTGTATCAAAACGATTTTATAGAAAAAGATGAACCTGGTTTTTTTATGGTATTTAAATACACAGAACCGTGTGGAACACGTGTTGTATGTTTTATTAATAAAAAAAAGTCACTTTTTTCATTTTACTGGATTAAAACGCGATATTTTTTTTAATTACATTTGTTTACTGTGCCAAGGATTAAAAAGTAAATAATTAGTTTTCAAATTTCACTTTGTTATACAAAGTACATTATAATATTGTATTATAACAGTATACCTACAAGGTAAGAGTTTGGATGTAAAATTAAAATAATACAGATTTCTATAATATTGGTCCACATAGTTTTTGTATGTGAATTAAAATATACGATATTGTGATTAATTAATCATTAGCTTAGTCACCCCAGCAGTAATGTTAATCGGATGAAAATACAAAGCCCGTCTTATCCGTGAAATAATATTGATGGTTTGAATTTTGGGGAACGTCAACGCATTGATATTTTAATTTTCCATGAGGATAACCACGATCGTTTGAGCTTAACTAATTCATTTTGCATTTATTATAAGTAAAAATAATAACTTTATCAACGAAACAAAAAAAAAAAAACGTTTCATACTGTAAACCGTGAATCCGAAAAATGACGATAATGTTGTCATGTATATTATGATTATATTATATGTAACGGAAATACTGTACCTCATGAAATTTTTACACTATCATAATATTATATTACACTACGGAACACAGTGTGTGATATAATAATAATATGCTATGGGATTTAAAGTCTAGGTCGGCTATATTTAAAAAAAAATTAAAAAGGGACTAATATTTCGACCCCCTATAACCCAAATAAAACAATACACTAAGTTTTTTATCTGGTTTTTACTATTCAACGGAATAATAAATTAGAAAATTATACTATATACTCTTATTAGATTTTGACCTTCGCATTACTTCAAAACAACATATTTTTTTAGAACACATTTTTGTTCAAACATTTTTTTATTTGTTTTTTTGTGATGTTTGTGTTATATTTTGTTATCCAAACTACCACAATTATTTTGAATAGATAATAACCATTCAGCACAGTTAAAAAAAATTAGTATTTCTATCTCATTTGAATCTTTTAAAATCCAAAAATTATTGATTTTTTCAAAAAATTTAATTTAACTAATACATGATCTGAATAGTAGGAAGTTTATTGTACATAATATGGTAAATTAAATTTTTTAGTGACCGTTAATTGCACACCAGAATACTATAGATCCTACAATTTCGTTTTGTATTAAAACGTAGCATACATAAATAATCTAATGGAACTCCACTCCTACGTGCACACAAACAGGAGGAAATGTTATGCTTGATGTGAAAATGTGAAATTATACATTTTTAGCTTACTTGCTTTAACGGTGTTATTAAAAAATAAAAACTTTTAAAACGAAGTATGAATTATATATTTTTAATCTTATAAACTACTTATTTTCCACGTTAATTTAATTTTGGAAATATACTACAAGGCACAAAGGCATACACTATACCTATTATTATATGTAAGTGGACCATTTCCAAATTTAAAAAAAAAATACCATGATGAAATTATTATTTGTGTTATTATATAATAGACTGGCCATATGACACGTAAACTATCTAACTTTTAAAAATTCATTAAAATATGACTTATCGTAAAAATGTATAAATTATTTATGATTTCAAAATTAATCATTTTAAAAATAATAATGCTTATATGACGTAAGTATAAAACGTTATTTTAACTATATTAAAATAAACATTTTTCTAAACTTTTTTATCATCTTATGAACTTGACGTTTTTATACTCAAACCTTAAAAATATATTACTGTTCTAAGAATTTCGGAAACTTTATGATACCAAGTGGAAAATAGTTTACATAAAACGGGTTTGTTGTACATTTTACTAATTTGTTTTTAATTTTCTAATGTTCTTTTTTTAAATTTTCTCTAGAATTAATTTTCAATACTATTCCAAATAAAATTTATATAGTACACTTTAAATCTAAATAAACAAAATAACGGAGGAACTTGGTATTAAGTTTGCTGTATAGTACGATTCTTACGTGCCTACGTAAATTATCAATGAGTATTTCACTGTAATGGATAACTCATTTTTAATTAAACAATAAACCATTTCCCTATTATTTTTCTGAAGCGATTCTGAGCGAAACGGTATATCAGCCTGTATTTCTAAGGATATTTTAAGATTTATTTTTTTATTTTATATACAGTATGTTTTACTATTTTGTATTCGAATTTATTTTATTTAAAGCATCGTGTAGGTATTCTATAATGTTTTTACACATAAAACAAATTATATTTCTGCTTCTCCTATAAATAGGATAATGCCAATAGCAAATGATTTAAAAATTGATTTATTTAATAATTATATAAACAAAATTTTTTGTATTTAAATACGTTGTACTGTTTTATTATTTTATTATTATTGTATTATTACTGTGTTATTATTGTATTCTAATTTTCAGTTATGAATTATATTATTTTAAATTATTATAATTGGATCGTCTGATCCGTTGGAATAAATAAATAAATAACAATAATTATAAGACATATTTCATAAATTAATTTTAAGTTATAAGTAATACTGACATGGTGTGAATAGGATCGTGATTCGTGGTATAAACAGTTTAAAATGTATAGTCTAACTAGTAACTATGTTGAAAATGTAATTGTTGTGTAAACATAAAAATAATATATTCAAATCTGAAAAGTTTAAATTCATACAAAATAAATATAATTGTTATATTTCGTTTAATTATCATATCGTTAATTTTATCAAAAATTTAACTCCAAATGTTTATAAAAAATAATATTGGTCATTCACTAGAAAACTTTTCTTAAACTTATATGATTTTTGAACAAAATATTTTTGTTATCAACATTTATAAATAAAAACTAAAAATGCATACATAAATTTTAAATTCCTATAAATAATCAATATTCAAAAATTAGACTAGATAATTTTAAACTTGTATGTAGAATTTTGTATTACATTTTAAAGTTTTTGAGAAAGAAAACAAATTTTATCTTACTATAATTATAAACATTTAAAAGTATGAAATTTTAAATGTCCATGAATGACTGAATAATAGTTTTAATAGTTTTTAATTTATTCGATGTCTAGAAAAGGGTTATATAAATATTTGATGAAAACCCCAAGTATCCACGGACTATAGTTCTTTCTTTTTGAATCATTATAAAAAAATAAAATCTATTTTTCCCGAAAATTGGTGTTTTGTAAATATTCTTGTTATTCCAAAGGTATTTTTTTTTAGTTTAAGTACTACGTCCTAAGGTGACGCAACAAAAAAATAAGAGAGGAAAAAAGACACATTATTGTAAAACCAATGCATTCGTTCTCCGCTTAGAATCTGAAACTACAAATGTACAAATACAATAATATCTTTAAGTTTATTTATTTGCAGTCTTACGTTTGAGTGAACTATGTTTGTTTTTTTTCTTATATTAGTTATAGTTATTACGACGATGCCTTGATGCTATATTGATCGTATGTAGGTATGTGAATTTAATGTTGAAATACTTAATTATATAATACGGAAACCGAAAACATTATTATAAAGAGTTATCCACATATTATTGCTATAGATAATAAAAATGTTTTTATCTAGAATGCATGTAATTTGTGATTATACATTAGATGAAACATATTTTTAACTTCTTTACATAAATAGGTATATATTATATTCTCTATTAGTCTATACAATCCTTATCATGTTATAATTAATATTAGTAGGTGAGTATATTACGATACGGAATTACATGTGCCTACACTAGGATTTAGGAAAATAGATGGATTTTGGTACATCAATATGAAACCACGTTCAGATAATATTGTGTTATCGAATTCATATTATCAAGACCATTTATTTGGATAATTTTATTGTCTAAAGTGTTAAATTTGTATCTATAACTCATAAAAAAAACCCTTTATCATCGATGTTTTCTATACCTCACCACATCCACCACTCTCGTCAGTGACGAGCCGTCACAGTACGCCAACAGGTGTGACCGATGTGGTCTCCAAGACCATATAGTCATTTATAATAACCACCATTTAGGGTGCAGTTTCAATGCTGTTTGCGTGTAGTTATCGTATGTTGAAAGGGACGTGTAAAGAATGGTGTCGATGACATTATTAAATTATTTTCAACACGAAAAGTCTATTTCGATTAGGAAGTGGTAATTTCGACGGAGTTTCGGAGAAGACGAGGGCGCCGGTCAGGCTACGTTGCAGTCGATTGCCGACGTTAAATAATTAAGGTGACTTCTCCCGATGGCTGCCGGTGGTGGCGTCAACCACGTCACTGGTGACGGAGTGATCATTGGCCGCAGTGCTGCGTGTAGGCGAACGGGGGGGAGGATATCCGATTATAATTCTGATGGAATCAAAATAGGTCCATCGGCAAGAGAGGACGCTCATCAATCCATCAGAGTAGCTGCTGCAAGCCACGCCATCGATACTGCCGGAGAGTATCAAGGCCGCTTCCTTCAGCCAGCGGCGACGTGGGCAGCCAATCATCAATCTTATTCGCTTTCGGCTCCGACTTCGGCGGCGGCGATGGCGCATTTATACCCGTCAGCGAAGTTTTCCACCCTCTTGCCGCAATCCACACCTACACCCCACCACCGCTGTCGATGACGTCGTTGCCGTCGTCGTCTTCGTCACGCTACCATATCCGTTGACGGCGGTCGAAAGCACAGGAGAACGGGTGGGGGGAGGGGTAGATCTCCGACGAGGACGGTGGTGACGTCCCAAAGTTAAAATATCGGAAATATCAATCGTCCGGTCGTACGATTTTGTTTTTGCCAACACATGCACGCACGCACGTCGATCACCGCCGAAATACCGTGTGTGTGTGTGTGTGTGTGTATATATATATATTTGTACATTATAAACGTATTGCACGTGCACAGGCGGTTATTGCGCAGTATTTAATCAATCCACGAGAAGCTGATAACTTTTAGATACGACGCCCACGGCGAGAGTGCATATGTGTCCTTGGCGGGTGTGTCAGGTCCGGTATGGTGTGCGGGTCATATTTCAAAACGAACGCCGTTAACCAGGTCTCCGTATACTGCCGCCGCGTTCCCTTAAAATTAGCGATGGTCAGGAGGAATGGAGAGGGGAAAAAAGGATCGACGATTAACATCGGGTCGTAACTGCCCACCCCCCGATTCCACCCCTGTCTTTCGCCCACGCTCTTGACGTCGTTTTCTCTGCCAAAATTATTACACCTCGGGAAATCGTTTTCGTTTAAACGGAAATCGACTACAATTTATGCGGCTAACGGTTCGGCATTACAATTTTAAATCAATTTCCTGGGAAATTTTATAAATGAAAATGTCTTATACTACATTCATAATTTAAGTTTAAAATGCATAGTGAAATTAACTATCGTTATTACAATAAAAAAATAAAAATGGTTTAATGTAATAAATAAATGTATTTTAAAAGAAATTATCTGAAAGAAATTATTGGTTACCTATTATCTATACATACAATACAAATACGAACAATTGTAAAATTAGATATATTTTATTAATATGAAAATCTACTTTATTAACGACACAATAGAATCAAATGTATTAAACATTACAGATAATATAAAGATAATTGATAAGTTTTATACTTAATGTCATTATAATACACCACTTGTTTTGAACTGTTTACTGAAATTGTTGGCTATTAAATGTTTAATTTCAAATTTATAATGTTTAAGTTATATAATAGGGATATCTGCAAGAAAACCAAAAACTTCTAAACCAGAATATTATTTTAAAAATACGTAGGAGAACCGTATTATTTATGCTGGGAAATGAAAATTATCTTAGAGGAGAGGGAAGAAACAATTTTGAACTTGTAATATTCACAAACATATTATTTTAAAGCAATGATGAATGTAAGCTTATAAATGGCTTTGATAAAATTTTAATAAGCCATTTCTCATGAATACAAAAGAGTTATTCAGCATGTTCAATGGTAATCCTATTGTTTATACTTTATAGTTTATAGTATAGAAACTAAATTAAAAAACTTTATTGTATAAAATAGTAACACAATAGAATCATTAGGATATAAAAGTAGCCAATGAAAATATTTAAGGAGCAGATTGAAAATTATATAAAATAAAGTAATGCAGACGGCAGAAACACTTTCATATCTGCAAGTCGAAAAACCATACTAGTTGAACCTAAAAAGCGGAAGAATGACTGAAAGAGATAAACATTCGCAACATACCGATATTATAATATTATTTGGTATGTATATTAATTAAATAGTCAATAATCCTACTACTTTATGTTGTACAATTATTTAAATTAAGTTCTTTTAATATCTACCTAAATGACTAATGGCATTCACTTATTATTTGCTATGATTTAAAAAAAATCTAGTTTAATCCGCCAATCAATTAAATCTTATATACATTTTCAATAAACGAATACACCGAATATTAACTATATATAAGCTTATGTTTTAAGGTTACCCTATTACCCACTAGAAATAAAAACACAATTATTGAGACGGAATTCAAATTAAAACTACTAGGTACCTACCTACGTGTAATTTCAAAAACAAACAAGAAATTCCCAACTGTAATACAAAAGAAAAAAATTAATAAAATTGCCATATATCAAGACATTAAAAACGCATAAACGATTATTAGGTACTGTCATATTTTACTCGTTAGAACACTGACTTAATAATAATGTGTTTCGTTATGTTTAATATTATTCAATGTTTCTGTATTTTTTACCACGACGTGTAAAATACGTGAACAAAGAGTAATATATTTTGTATTACCTACAGTTGTATGATTTGTAATATAAAAATAAAACATGGTTAAGGAATAATGTTCAAACATATATTTTAAATTATTAAAACATATTTCGATCTTTTGATGATACTCTAATGGCCATTGAAATAGGCTCTATATTAAATTAAAATGTAGACGTGTTTTTATGTGATAATAATAAGTCTAAAATATAATATTATAATATACCTTTTGTCATTTGGAATCAAAATCATGAAATCACACCATGAAGCAATTTTTCTTAACCTGATTATTTTTTTTTTAAAGTCTGTGTTAGAAATTTTGTATTCCTAAAAAAAAGTATTTAATTTGGAAGTTGTCCTCAATAAATTAAAAACCATTAAGAGATTATATTTTATGCAGTTTTTTAATTATCTATAATCTCTTGATTGAATAACTGTACCTACTTTTGGGTTTATTCTTTATTATCTAGCTTTAAATTAAAACATAAATCATTTTAAAATAATAAAAAAAAATATGACATAAATAATTATTTACCTTGTGTAACTTTTTGTATTATTTTTTTTAAATGTATAAACATTTATCGGCTGACATGATAAAAAAGTGGAAAATATCTCATCCTAAAAAACCAACCATGCACCAACAATTCTATGCAAACATTTATGGTAAGGTAAGAAAAAACTACAGATACGACAGCTTTTTGTAAAACTTGTAGTCGCTTAAATGAAAACGTTCGATAGGTATTTCACACCCTTTTTTCACTCCAATCTAGTTCGACCAACCTATATTGGACGTCCAAAAGTTTTTATGCAGCCAGGAAATTCATTAAACTTTTACGGTCAGTGAATCTTGAAGTTGAAATTTCAACCTCGTTCTACTGTATTTTATTTATAGTATTTTTTTTTTCGTGCATAGTCAATCGAAAATGAACATTTAATGAAGACCGCCGAAGTTCTTACAATTATTATTGACGATGAACGTCATGTATTATAGTTTTATATTGACCCTAGTGAAAACTTCTCTCACGGCCTTCTATTCTTTATAATTATATAAACAATAGCAGTTCTGATGAGAAACTCCGTTAATTGAATAACCACCTAAACAAAAATCAATAATCTCAGTTAAATGAAAAATGGCCAAGCATTTTGACAAAGCGCAGATTTGAGAAACAGAAACAATTAAAAAATAAAGCTTTTTTTTTTTAAACTCATAATACAATAATTCTCGATTATAGAAGTTCAATAGCCATTCAACGAAAACAAAAAAAAAAATATAATAAATGATTCCGATTTTTTTTTTTAACAATATTATATAAGAGAATTTAAACCTACGTCATAAGGATAATATTATTACTTAACTTATGTATATATAAAAATTGTATTAATAATATACATTTTGAATTGTAAAGTCGTTATTGTGTAATATATTTTATAAGAAACCAACATTTTTTTTGCTCTTGAAATATGGAGAATAATTTTTGTAAATAATATTATAATTCTAGTGAATCCAAAACTGTTAACAAAATCTCAAACCTAGGCGAAGATATAAAGTACCTAGTTATTATGTATATAATCTTATTTCAATCCAATAAAAATAAATAAATAAATAATAATATTTTTCAAAAGCGTTTTCTATCATTAATATCGTATTGTATACACTGTAAATTTATCATTCCCGTTACACTATTGATATTTTAATATTTTTCTAAACATCGGAAATGATAGTTAGTCATCGTTCCATAATATTTGAGCCTACAGTATACTCAACATTATTATAACATGAAACAATTGCTTTGTTTTAATATTATTGTTTGTTTGTTATTAATTTTAATATTAATTTGATCCTTAATGGAGAACATCATATTTTGTTCAATTCAATTTTCAGACATTATTATTTTTTAATTTGTCAATTAATTGAATATTAGTATATTTATCTATACATTTTGAATTATTTTATATTTTCCCGTTATCATTACAAGTTTCTTTCGACTATGTGTATAGTTTTGGTATTTAGAACACATTAGTGCTCTAACACAAATCTTTTTTCATAACTTCAAAAAGTATGAAAAACTACACACTCTTCTCATTAAACAATTTGATAATCTACAAAACAAATATCAATAATAGTATAACACAACTATCAATGAGTATTGTAAGTCGACAATTACACCAACATCTGACATTGTAATGAACACATATTATTAATAATATACATATACATATAATCATAACTGTAAATAATTGGCTCTGAACATTTCAATCTTATATCAAATAATTCTGAGTAGGTAATGATTTGTTTAATACTTTAATGTCTTAAAAATTGTTTATAACTTAGTATAATAATATTTTCTTTCCTTGATGAAACTATGACTATTTAATAGTTCATAATTAATATGGTTTTATGTATTAATTATTATTGACATTCAAGCATTGGAATTATTTAAATTAAAAATTAAATATTTTCTAATGGAATTTTTCTTTTTTTTTTTTAGGAATTTATATTTTTATTGATTTAACTAATTGAACTGTAAATAATCGTTTTTTTTTTTTATTCTAAGGTAAAATATTTTTTTTCAATAATAATCAATTGAGAACTGTTTATGAACGGCTGTTTCGTTGAAAAAATACAGTAAAATGGAATAAACAACTTGCTGTTTATATTTTAAAAAAAAATAACATTATAATTTCTGAGTAGGTATTTTTTTTTCAACAAATTATTAACTATAACGATTATTTTATAAGTAGGTACAAATAATTCAAGTGTATTGGTATTATGAAATAAATTGAATTATCTAAATTAGACTAAAAATATTATTTGATCAATTCTATGGCATAATATTTGTACGAGTATAGTCATATATTATTAT